ACAGTTCATACAATTTCTTATATGCTTGACTACTTATATAATAAATTTTCAAAATAATGACTAAATTAAAAGAATAAATATTTAAAAGTGAGACGATAACTTTTCTGTATAATATTTTTCCGTTTATATTTAAAACAGTAAGCGTTAACTTCCGACAGATAGTAGTCTGTAAAAGTATTTAGCTAACTTAATAGTGTTAATAATTTTCAAGAGCTTTTAGATTAGTAACCGACTAAAAAAATAGAAAGAATAGTTTCTTAATGTATTATTTTTGTAAACGCTCTCAAGCGTTTTTAATAGAAACTACTCGAAATTGAATACAATTTTAAGCTACAGAAATTTTTATCTCTAACACTAAAAAATCATCGCTTTAGGAGTTCTTTTCGCTACCATAAATTATTCTTACTAATCACCAGCAGCATTATTAATGTTACCTTAAACCATTATCTATATATATAATTATTACTATAGACGTTATTTACTACGGATTTGCTCTTTGTATTTGGTCACTTCAACTTTTATTATATATATTATACTTTAATAAAAAGGGCTCCTCTTTTATTGGAGGTGGATTTAGGAAGAACAAAAGAAAATCTATTAGCTATCATAGAATACTTCGTAAAGAGCTGACGACTGCAATAATTGAAGTTACAGGACTTGAAAAAAACGTGACTAACCGAAGAAAAAAATTTCCATAACAGTTATAAAGTTAATCTTTACTCTGCTCTTCAAATACTATACGAGCCTTAGAAAGAAGTCATTGAGAGAGAAGAAAGTGCTTTTGTGAAAAAGGTACCAAAAAAAATAACGACACTAATAGCAACTTTATAAATGATAGTAATAAATAGATAAAGTAAAAGGTATTTGTAAACCTACAGTTTGAAAAAAATTTTGCAAATAACCTTAACGATTGTAACAACCTTCATAGGAAGTTTACTGATAACACCACTAAAAAATCTATTTTTAATAATGGTAACAATATATTTAAAATTAGCAAAAACAATAATAAACCTTTAAAGGGCACATACAGCCTAGACTTGAAGATGGCAATACTCCTTTCATGTCCGAAATATTATCAGCAACTCCAAATTCTCTTGAGGCTGCATCTCCTCTTAGGCCAAATAGTAGAACCCCCCTCTAGTTCTCGTCGAAAGAAGTGGAAACATTTTGTTAAACTACTGCAAGTTAGCGGCTCCAAGATTCCAAAGTTTTAAGGGCACACGTCAAGGCATTAAAAAATTTTCAGCAACTATGTACTAGTGGCGAACCATCATCTAGTTATGCGTGGTGAGGCCTCCCTCGCCGAATCTATTGCCACCTTGATGCCGATGATGTTGTGCATATATCAGAGTGCGATCGACTAAAGCTGTTGGAATAGAAAACTGCCTACCACTTCAATCAAAATCGAAGAACTTCGGTGAAGTAACCACATCGAAATGTTACCACCGCCAAGTCTTCGGCACAGTGCAACTTTACCTTTCTGCGGCTCTCGGTAGCGTGGGCCGCTAGACAGCGCAATGTTAAAAAGCCCGGAAAGTCCTGCCAATTGAGCAAATTACGATGAAGCACACACCACCAACTCTTATAAGGCTGCAAAAAAACTTTACCCGTGGAGAAGACTTACAGTAGCCCATCAAATTGCTCTTTAAAAGGAGTCTAGCAAGTGTAACCCTAACGATCTCGTATGTCGCTCGCTTGGCCCCAGAGGCAACTCACCAGACAATCAACCAGAAGAACCACACAGCAACCAACATGGCGGGAACTGCTTGCTACATTAGCAACAAACCTGTCAACAACGCCTTAGACAGTAAAGGGTTTGATATCCGTTTGTATTTGGTTTTTAAAGCACGGGCGCTTCATCATTTGCGTCTTTTGTGCCAGAGCGCAGGTAGACTTTCATTTCACGGAGGAAACATGAGTTGTAAGAGTTGGTGCAGCGCGAAAGAAACTACCTGTGTGTTTTTAGTGAGACTAATCTATCTCTTAGTGCCCATATAAGTTCTGCAACTTTTCGACGTATTAGAATTTATGAGGGCAAGGATAGATATGCGACCGTTAAATGACCGAAAAAGTGAGTCGCGTCGGTGGGATGCGCAATCATGACCTTGAGTATGTGCGCCAGTGTCCACCCCGCTGAGCTTCGACGACAACTCTCGAGTCGAACCCAGTATGATGGTTTTACGTATCTAACCTGTTAGAGAGGAACGCTGGGGGCACTCGTGCCCTAACTCCTGCAGAAAAGAGAGGAATTCAGGTTAAGGGGTTGTGACCCCTTGCAAAGGCCAACCGTAGTATGCCAGTGCCTGAAAATTAAATTACGTTTTTCGTGGTTTATTTTTATTGTAAAAGAAAAGCTTACTAAAAACTGCGTTGAGGTTATTAAACAGTTTATTTTGATTTGGTTTGCAAAACTACAAGGGATATAAAGTTTTACATTATATTTGAAGCTACTTTGCACAAATAAGTTTTATGATAGACAAGCTATATGACTATCATAAAGCTATTTTTACTTAATATTAATTACGACACTTACTTAAACTCGTCCCACTAAAAGAGTTCAAGCATATGAAAATTAAGATTTTTACTTATATGTCTTTTTTTACCATTTAAAGAAGACTGAATATGGAAATATACACTCTACTATTTTTTTTTCCTAATAAAATAGAGAAGTTATCATGTCGTTATTTATACTAATACTACTTTTTTGGTTTCATAATAATGTTAGTATTAAAGCCTTTTATTTTAATAACAAACAAAGAAAACCTTACAATTTTCCATGGCTTGCTTCTTTGCAAGTTAGAGTACTTTTGTTAATTACTAATAACTCCTTTGTGGCTTACTTTTAAGTTAGCTTGTAGAAAACGGTGGTCGCTTCCACTCTTGCTTTGGTGTCCTTATAGCTAACGGATGGGTATTAACGGCTGCCCATTGCAATTCTAGATTTAATTTAGTATGCTTTGGTAATTTTTTTTTAGAAGTTTCTTTTTATACAGAAAGTAACCATTAAATAAATTTAAAAAAATTTTATTATTTCATAAAATAAAACGTTAGAGTAACAAAGGTATTATATTTTTATTTTTAAAATTCGTTAAGTTTTCATGTTTTTAATATAAGCGTACTAATAGGGTAACAAAAATATTATATTTTTTTAAAAAATACAAATTTTAACATAAGCATACTGCAAGAGTAACAAATATTTTATTTAATTTTCTATAACATTATAAATTTTAAGGAAAACTTACAACTATTTATTGTATAAGCACACAGTTTAACAGTTTTATTTGTTATAAAAAAACAATTTATATCATCGTATATAATGTAGATGGAACAACCTTACGAAATTGGTCTAATTTTACTTGTTATGAGGTTGACTTTAAAAAAACACATCCTGATTGGAATAAAAAAACATACATGAATGATTTAATGTTGGTGTCCTTCTCTAAAACTTCTCCACGGAAAATATTAAAACTAAACAATGTATTATATAAAGCTTTATAATAATAAAATATCAGTAAATACAGTTTTTTTCTAAGAAATCTTTTCCAGAAAAAAAAAGAATATAAGAATTTTTATACGTACGGATGGGATACTCAATTTGAACTTAATTATTCTCAATTACAACGTTATGAACTAAAATTAATTAATAATCAAAAGGTTTTAAAACTTTTATGTTTTTGCTGTAACTTATATAGTATTTTCCTTTAGTTATAAATATTATCTATCAAACTTTCTGGTCTTTATAATGATTTACTTTTTAAGAATGTATGTAGCATCATGATTCTTCTCTTAATAACTTCATTAACAAAATTATTTCGCAGCAAATTATATTTTTAGAAGAATTATTTTTTATGCTTAAAAACTACCCCTTTCTCGTTATAATAAGAATAAATTATTTAAAACTTGAACATAAAAAACCTAAATTTTTTCGGGGATTAGAAATCTTTAATCTTTATAAATTTTTTTTTTTTATCGAAGTATCAAAATTAAGTGTATTTTGAAAACTAAATTCTTACGAAGTCAACTTGATTTTTTAGTATGTAAAGGCACTTTAATATATTAGTTATTACCAAAAAATCTATAATAAGCACGGAAGTAAAAGTTAATAACCCAATTGTTTTCGCTAGGAAGCCATTTAGCGCAATTTTTGCATTTCACCTTAAATTTTTTTAAAATACTTAAGCGGCACAAAAAATTAAAAAGAATAATTGAAACAGTGCTCGATCTGGAAAGGCGATATACCTGAAGTTCTACCACGTAATATAATTTGCATGACGCACAAAAACAAGAACGCTTTATTAAGCTGTGATGGTTATAGTGGAGGACCACTGCTTACTTTTTCTAACGCCACAGAAACTCTTCTTGGTATTACTTCGTTTGGAAGCAGATTCTGTAATATAAAAAAGCCAATTGCTTATACTCGGATACGACATTATATTAGCTGGATAAAAGAAGCCATCTCTCAAAAGAAGGAATCTAGTATTTCTGCGATTCCAGCTGCTTGTTTGCCTCAAGAGGAGAGCAATCCGAGATGTGACGTTGTGGAACGTTATGCATTGAAAGGAGAAATTATAGCGAGATTTGTACTAAGAACGTCAAGGATAATGACTGACGCCATCTATATTATTTCGCAACAACTCTCTAAGCCTGTGTTGATTTATAAAGCAGGATCAAGCCATCTTATAGCCACCGTAAAAGGTAAAGCTATATTCTTTTTCATAGATGTACATCTTTATGTTATTAACACCCGCTTATAAAGTTTCTAACGGAAGCTGGGGAGAAATTAAAAATTCAGAAAATTTAGTATCTTTCTGCCTAAAACCTGGCATTTATTACCTAGCGTTGGATGTTAAAGAAAGTTTATTAAAAAGTTACTTTAAACTTTTTATTGTAAAAGAAGAGCTTCTTCCCTCATGCCATTCAGAGTTTAAAAGTTTTTCAAATCTAGAAAGTCCAGAAATATGTAAAGATTCAAATTTTAGGCATAATTATCCATTACGGTGTGTGTATATTCAAGGAAATGTTACACACAAGAAAGTACTGGCCTTCACATTTGAAGAAGATGCAATACTATCGTTTTGGTTTCACGCTCCCCACTCGTCCTTTCTCCGTGTTAATCAAAAGATTGGAAATTTTACACAACAGTTATTAACATTACCAGGAAAACTTGGAGAATGGCAGTCAATTAGTAAAATTTGCTTAAGAAAAGGAGAATATTTTGCATTTGTAAGCAACGTTTTAGCTTTTAATATAAGCAGTCCTTTCCAAATAAATTTATTAACCTTTGGAAGGACTTGTAAAAGAAACTCTGAGGGATTAGTCCCCCTTCACCTTCAAGTTTTATATAACCGAAGCGATTACGTTAGAATTAATTTAAACGTTATAAATGACAAACCTGAAGTGAATCATCAAACCGAACGATATATAAATAGTGGTAATAGCTTGGTTATACAAATATTATATCCCACCTTACTCGTTACTTTTATACCTTAAAGAAGATTACGTAAAAAGAATGCTTTATGCTATGTTTATATTAAAATAAAATTGAATATATATCATTCACTTATACTAAAAATCAAATTTTTTTTTGTAATAAAACAAAAAGATATAATATTAAAATTTATAAAAAAATAAAGCAAAAGAATATAAAAAAAATATGCAAAAAAACGATTTGATAATAAATAATATAGTAAAGCTTGTCTGCTTTTTTTTTTATTGCCGACATTTTCTTGTGCTCGATCGGGCCGTAAAAGAAACCACCGAATCAACGTGCTCTCAATAGGATGATAGCGTACACATTAGCTTTAAGCTTCTGTTAAAGCAATCTCACAAATATATATGTATTAAAAATAATTTATACCTCTAACCCATAATATGTATCTGGTCTATTGCGCGTTCAGCGATAGCGTATAGTGGACCTCAGTTATTAGTAATCGATTGGTGTGCTGACTGAGCCGGAGGTGGCGATAGCATTGCGTCGAAAACATTACCCAGAGATTCAACCTGGAGATCTTTATGTAAGGCATCGTTGCGAACAAATCACGAAGAGACTATTATCGATGAGTCGTAAGCACAGGCAGCAGACGCGTATGTCATAATCGTTCGGATGCACAGCAAACACAAGCGTCGTTTGTTGTGCAGCGAGAGTTTTCTTTGGGCACAAAGTAAAGGGTGAAGAGTTTGAACTGCCACCTTGACGTTCGCCGCGATATAGTTTAAGTGCGGCCGCCACAAGGGTTTATTGTCAGTAATGACCCCCAGGTACCTCGTCTGAGGGCGCCAAAGAATTACCTAATTTTCAAAGGTCAGCGGCGGTGGTGATGTAGTACGCTTCTTTGCGATAAAAAGAGCTTGCTCTTTTCCGCATTAATAGTAATTCCAACGACGACTCCAATTGGCAAGCGTCGTAAGGTAGTACTACAGATGCTGGCGCAATTGGGCAAGGTGACTTTGACGAGGCGTAAATCGCCCTGTTACCCGCATATAACACAATTCACATTGGTGATCGTCAGGCTGTGGCACGAGACGTCCACTCTGTCAAACGGAGGAGCTTCTGAGTAGTGGAGCGTTCTTGTCGAAATCCAAATTGGAACTCTGGCAGGGCGCGGCTTGCGTCAACAAATGCTTTCAAGCGGCGCAGTATGGCCATCTCAGCTACTTTGCCGACAGTTGACAAGAGACTGATAAGAATGTATTTGCTTGGCGTAGATACCGGTCGTGGTGTCTTTGGGAGTATCACAACAGTTGCCGTCTTCCAGCGTAATGAAAAGGTGCCGAGAGTTATCGTCCAGTTGATGAGGCAACATAGGCGTTCTACAGCAACCACTGGTATTTGCTTTAACATCACTTTGGTGATACCGTCGGGCCGAGGTCTTCACTTCGACAAAGCGTTAATAATCTCTACGATTTCGACTATGATGATTTGGCTCCACCCGTCCCTCGGCATAAGCAAGGAAGTTTGACTCATGAAGCACTCTATCAGCAACTAAATAAGTAGGTGGCACACACTGAGTAGCGAGGTGACCGTGTAAAAGTGTCGCTTTGTCAGCATCATTTCCGGCCACAAAATTGCCGTCTCGCATAGCAGGTAATGGTAAACACACTCCGTTTTTGTATTTCCTTATAAAATTTCAGAAAGAGACGCGACAGTTACAGTTATTAGCCGATATATTACTTAACTTTGTCTCTTACAATCGGTAATGATGCGCTAACAGCTCTTTCCTAAAGCGCCAGTGTAGTTTATTATGCGCTAATTGATCTTCGGGATGTTGCGGTACCGTCCCACTAGAATAAGGTGTCGCCGCTCGCAGATAAGGGCCTTCAATCTATCAGGCAAGCGGTTAGGGCGGAACTCAAATTCACGTGTTTTCGTGGCGGTGTGATACGCCATGGTCAAAATACCCTCGAATTTCAGCAACAGCAACGTCGACTAAGACTGGCGTGCTTCTTTTATTTTTAATTAATATCAGTACCTGGTGCTCGATCGAGTTAAAACTTCGAATATTCGAGCTCTCAATCAGGAGTAATTACAGATATATTACAAATAGCATTCAGGGTATCATTATTTTTTTACATTAAAAAAAAAAAACTAGTGCTTAAGCGCGTCACATCGGCGGCTATAACGTGCCCCGTTTCATGGCTCGTAAATAAGTTTCTCTCTCCCGCAAGCGATTTATGTGTCTGGTAAGCCTGTCGTAAAGGGCCAGTGCAAGGCGATGGAAGGTGGAAGACAATGTTTAAAGGGTCCAGCTGAAGGTCCCGCTGAAGAGCAACATTTCTCAAAAACCTGGGCGCATTTGTCAGAACACGCAGAAATTTTGTTCTGTCGCACTTGAAGTGCCGACACTTTCGCATTGGAGTCGTAGACAAGCAGCAGAGGCGCATGTCATTATTGGCTGGATGTAAGACAAATACAATTGCCGTTTGTTTCGCAGAGAAATCTTACTCTTCCGCAAAGTAAAGTAAAAGAGCCTTTGTGGCTGCATTGACCTTCGCCACTATATATAGTCAAGTGACACCGCCAGGAAAATTTGTTGTAGGTGATGGTTCCCAAGTATTTCACTTGAGAACATCACAGAATCTTCACGCCAACAAAGGGACGCGTTTCTTTAAAATTAATATAGCTTTGCCCTTCATCGCATTTATAGTGACCTTCCAATCACGGCTCCAAGCGGTAAGGGTGATTTATGTGTGTGGTCGGAAGGAAGGGTACGTCGCTCATGTAAAATGCATATAAAAGGGGCGAGAGAAGTCAACCTGGGAACCCCTGCTGTCAGAGATCGAAGTAGTGACAGGGCCCCCCTACGGGCACGCTGAAGACGTGACCATTCAGATATGATTTCAGCACGTTATAAAGGTCTAAGGGGCGGATAACGAGCGATTTGTGCAGCAAACTTAATGCTAAACTTGATTAAATGCCTTCTTAACGTCAAAGAAGAGAGCGCCTTTTTACCTTCTTATAGTTAAAAGTGCGAGTGGTCCATTCAGTTAAGCAGAGGAGCTGTTGGGTCCTGAACTTCTGTTATTGTAAAAAATCTCGTGGTATCTATACTTTAAAAATGGTTCGAAGAACCAATCAAAATTAGTTCATCACCCATCAACTTCCCTTTTCCTTAGATTCAAAAAAAATTACCTTTCATAGTAATTTTTTGGCATCCAAATAAAATCGGATTCGAAGAACCAATCAATATCTGTGTTATGACAAAAAAAATCCCTTTTTTTTTGTTAATTGAAATTGTTTAGTTATTTTCTTGTTATAAAAACTAACAATTTTTTTTTTGAAAATCTGAATTCTGTACTTAACTTTAATTAAAAAATTGTAAATTTTTAAAATTAAAGTAGTAAAAGTTTAAACAAATATAATTTTTGTTCCTACTCCTTCCAGGAAATTATCTATGGAAATATTAAAAAAAGAGACAGTTATTTACATTCTATCAACCAAACACTATTTCTAATGTAACCATATTTTACATAAAACTATACTAAAAAATTTCTTATTAGCAATAAACTATGAAAACTTACATAATCGCTAATGGATATTCTACACACTGTTATATATATAATAATAGCTTTATCGAATTGTTAACTTGGAATACTCGAGTTTTTAAACAGGTGTGGCCTTGCCTGCAAGAATAGGTTAAGTTTTTACCTGTATATTATTGGTGCTCTCGTCGTTTTATTTGAACTTCCAATTAGCATACAACTATCACGCTAAAAGTTTGTTACACGGACGCCGGTATTGTGCGCCGCTCTATGAATGTAAGTGAGTTCTTCAGCTAAAGGACGATTAGCGTGCATACAGCTATCCGAATTTAACCTTTAAATGCGTACTGTATCATACTTGAAACACCTATTTGAGGCTAGTATAGCAATCTAGTAGTAATTCTTATAAAAACTAAAGCGTGCATTGTATATGTAAAGGTCTGAAAAATCATGCACCCAACGATACACGCCTTAGTTAATCAAACTTCTACTAAATTGCTCTACTAAGCTTAATTAGAAGGCGTACCAAATATGTTACAATATGTATTTTCATCAGCTGCTCACCTCTAGTTCTCTGTGTAGAGTATCATTTCGTACACACGATGCATTTGTTGAAAAGACGCAGCAGTTTTCGTCGCAATTAAAACGAGGACATTACCACAGAAAAGATGAAGGAGAAGGTCCAGCATTAGATTTTGTTAAAAAAAATTTATAAGGAAGTATATTAAATATGAGTTAATTAAATATATATATTTTTAAATATATATATTTTAATGTGTATAATATTGTAAAATAATGTGGTGTATAAAATAAATTTATGGAATACGACTTATAAAGAAAATAAACGAAAGCAAGGAACGACATTTATTGACCAGTTTTCGGCCTATGTTTATACCTTTTATAAGGTTGAAGCCCTGCTTCCATTTTTGAATACTAAATTTATTTTTGTACCAAATAAATTCTACTTTATTTAGTTAGTAACTAATTAATAAAGTAGGTTAAATTATTTTGTTTGCGGAGAAATATGCTCTCCTTCCCTGTATTTTTTTTTAAACTGGTTTTCATATTTTTTTTATTGGTTTGCTTACGATCATTTTTCCTGTGATAATATAGGGGGTGTTGCTTGAATTTTTGAGTTAGTGCTTTCTGTATTTAGGTTTGTTTGTAATTGTGTTGATGGTAAGTGTGTTTTATATTTAATGCATTATATTATATATTTTTGTGTTCTAGATTTCTTTTGTTTTTGCATTTTGTGTTATGAACGGTATTTTATATGTTTTTATATACTGTGGTATTTAGTTTTTTTTCTTTGTATCCCGGTACTTACAGTCTTCGCTTATTGCGCCAAGAAAAATTAATTTTTCTGCACAAGAGTGTACTGTTTCTGAGTCGCTTCCATTACTCTGCCCCCATGAAATTTTACGTGCCGACGCCACAGCCTAAAATCTAGGCTACTAAGTATTTCCCGTTAAAAAGTTAACGATGTCGGCAGCGTAATGCGT